TTGACCGGGTTCACCGACCCCCGTGCTGGCCCAGCACCCATCCCCATACCAGCCTGACACCCATCCCTGCACTGCCCAGCACCCACCCCTGCGCTGGCCTGGCACCCATCCCGTACACCCCCCAGCACCCATCCCTGTGTCAGCCTGGTGCCCATCCCTACACCCCCCAGCATCCATTCCCAAACCACCCAGCACCCAACCCTGAGCCAGCCCAGCACCCCTCCCCGCGCCCCCCAGCACCCATCCCTGTACTGCCCACCCTGGTGGCAGGCAGTGGGGAAGAAGGGGCCATTCCCTGCCCCGCGGAGCTAATCCCACCGCGGCAGGAACAAACAGCCCTTTGTCAGGCTGCAAGGAGAATGCTTGCTGGGACCCGCCGCCGGACAAAGCCCCCTGTGCCGTGCTGGAGCCCACGGGGTGGCCAGCCGGGACACAGCACCGGCTCCCTGGCTGGCATGCCATCCTTGCCAAGCACGGCACAGCCGTGGCAGTGAGCGCCGCTGCGGTGCCCCGCAGGGGGACGGATGCCTGAGCCGGCACATGCCGGGCACCGAGAGTGAAGGCCCAAAGGCAGGCAGGTGGCCCTGGTGGGGCTGGCATCAGGCAAGCAAGCCGGCAGCCTGTGCCAATGCCTGGCAGCCCGTGAAGAGGGTGGCACTGGTGCCGACGAGGCAACAGTGCCGGGATTTCACACCCCTCCCGCCATGCTGTCCCCCACCCCCCCAGGATGCTCCCATCCCCTGGGATGATGCTGGGTGCTGACATGGAACCGGTGCACCCACGCCTGACCCCACATGTCCCGTCCCCCCCCGATCAGTGTCCCATGCTCACCAGGGAAGGCCAGCTTGAGGCGGGGGGTGGCAGCGGGCGGGGGGCGGCCGGCGGCGGGGCCGCAGAGCAGGAGCAGGAGCAGGAGCAGCGTGCGGCTCATGGCCGGGGCCTGGCTGGTGGCCCCGCGGCTGGGGCAGAGAAGCGAGACCTCAGCTCGGGTTACAGCCCCCTCCCGGCAGCCTCCAGACCACGATCCCTCCCCGGCACTGCCGATGGGATGCGGAGAGCCCCGAGCATCATCGGCATAGGGCAACCCTGGCACGGCACGAGAAGGCCACCCTGCTGGGCTTGACCTGGTGATTGGCGGGGGGGGGACACACAGGCCAGCCGCATCCCTCCCTGGTTTTTAAGCCTCCATTAATCCAACCACGAACCTAAGGGGCTCTGGGAGCAGCCCTCCCGCTCCTGTCCATGGGGAAACTGAGGCAGCCCAGCCGAGCAGCAGCCAGCCCTCCCCACGCCTGCCCGAGCCCTGCTGGCTGGAGGCTGCTGGGCTCTGCCCATTGCTACCTGCAAGCACAGAGCTGTCCTGAGGGGACGGGGACAAGGACAGGGCAAGCACCGGGGTGGTGCCAGCCAGACAAGGCATCCTGGGCAGGCAGCGGGCTCCTGAGCAGCAGGCAAGCAGGCCATTGTGGGAGTCATGGGGTCCCGTGCCTCAGTTTCCCCCACTGCTACACCCCCCACCGTTTGGCCCCTGGTCCTCCTCGTACTACCCTGCAAATGGGACCTGGGTTTGGGGGGCCTCTGGCCCCGCAGGTGCCCACAGCCCGGCATGCCCACCACCCTCACGGGCACCCACCACAGGGTGGGGAAGAGCTCCTCCGGCACCGGTATGCTCTCCCCTGGGGAGCGGGAGGCAACGGTTATCGCGAGCACCGCGCCAACATGCAGCTCCCCACCTCGCCTGCCGGCCACGCCACGGCAGCCTAGGGCAGCTGCAGGCTGCCGGGACGTGCCAGCCGGCACCTTCCCGCGCCACGTGCGAAGCACAAGCCCGGCCACGCCAGCCATCGGCCCGTGGCGCAGCCGATGGGTTTCACCCACGCCACAGCCAAGGGGGCCTTGCCGGGACACCGGTGACGACCGAAGCCCCACCATGGCACCGGGGCTCGGTGCAACCGCCCCACGTTCTGACACCCTGCTTGGGCAGGGTGTGAGCTGGGCCGCGGCGGGTGCTGGGCCAGAGGGACACGCGTGCGTGGC